TACTCTGTAGGCTCACATTGAGGTGCAGTCTGGTGCTTAGCTGGGTCACCTGACTCCTCTCACCTGCTTGTCATTTGTTCCTCTGTTGTGGTTGTTTTTAATCATAATATTTCTAGTACACACATTTTGGAGGGATGCCCTCCATTTTTTTAAAGTACCCTAAACTTGAGACTCATTGAATTTTTATCATCCATTTACCAATTCTTCTTGAAATAACAAGTGGTATCTATTTCTCTTGAATTATTATTTAACGCACATCATTGCTTACACTACCTTCTTGTCTGATCAAACAAATTACCAGAATAAAAATATGTACTTTAGAGTAGATATAATACTGTATAAGTCACATATATCTCACAGAGACCCATAAGGATGCTATTTACATAATAGCTGCTAAGTAAAATAAAAGAGGCATCATAGGAGATAAATTATGTAGCCTTTTTTCACTACTCGCCATAGTTTGTGTTCAGACAACTGCTCTCCCCCTCCTGGTTTCCCAGGCATCTCCTGAGAACAGTACTGATCTGAATTCAGAACCTGTCAAACAGGATGAAGCCTACCCAGCCACAGGTGGTTACACTTTCCCTGGAGCTAATTTACATAACTCCAAGCTGAGATGAGCAGGGCACCTGAGATACAAGAATGACACCCTTAAGCACTCATAAAATGGCCTTTTGAAAGAATCATTGCCTTTTCTTCTTCTTCTCCTTTTTTTTCATTTTATCTCTGCCAAACATTGCACTGGTGCTGGGACATGGGATGATTGTAATAGCCCTGGCTTCTAGAAGGAAAGCCTGTGGATTGAGACACACAGGGTGTGTAGGAGGCTGCAGAAGGTGCCCAGAGGAGGAGACCTGCCCTCCTCACCCTCTCCACCCTCTCCACTCTCTCCACCCTCCTCACCCTCTCCACACTCCCCACCGTGTCCTCAGTTATCATGATGCTTCGCAGGGATGCGATGCCTGCCCTGAGCTGTGAAAGGGGCAGGTAGACCAGGAGCAGAGGAGAGCAGAAGGGTTCTCACAGAGGAGCCTCCATGTATGTATAGCAGAGAGTTGGGGGCGTTTCAGCAAGCTGCTCAGGGTTAGAGCATTCGGTAGGAGGGGAGAGATGCCGGGTGGCCTGGAGGGGCAGGCCAGGCCTTTTCTGAAGTGAATTCCTCGGCATACACTGGGCTTGGATCTAGGTACTGCATGGGCAGTCAGGTCCCCGGATGTGTATTAACTACCTTTGGAGAAACCATAGAAGCAGGTGGCCAGGGCAGTCTCCAGACTCTTCATTTTACTTTATTTTTTAAAATATATTTTTATTGATTTCAGAGAGGAAGAGAAAGGGAGAGAGAGAGAGACATCAATGAAGAGAGAGAATCATTGATCGGCTGCCTCCTGCATACCCCCTACTGGGGATCAAGCCCACAACCCGGGCCTGTGCACTGAGGGGGAATCAAACCGTGACCTCCTGGTTCATTGGTTGATGCTCAACCACCCTCCCCACCCTCATAGGTCAGCCTGGCAAGGCTCTTCGTTTAAAGGCGTGTCAGCTGTGAGCTCTTGTCTGTTGAGTGCTCCAACATCAACAATCCTCTGTGACTCCCCGGCGCTGGGAGAGTCCAGCTGATGTTGTTTTCTGTTGTCTTCAGAGAGTCTCTGGACAAGCTCTCGCAGCGCGGGCAGCTGCTCAGCGAGGAAGGCCACGGCGCCGGGAAGGAAGGGCGCCTGTGCTCCCAGCTGCTCACCAGCTACCAGGGCCTGGTCAGGATGACCAAGGAGAAGCTGCGCCGCTGCCAGGCGGCCCTGCAGGAGCACGAGGCCCTGGAGGAGGCCCTGCAGAGCATGTGGGCCTGGGTGAAGGGCGTGCAGGACAAGCTGGCCTGCGCAGACAGCACCGTGGGAAGCAAGGACACCCTGGAAAAACGGCTGTTACAGATACAGGTACACCCCTGTGCCCCAGGACTGATGCGATTAGACCAGGGGTGGGCAAACTTTTTGACTCAAGGGCCACAATGGGTTCTTAAACTGGACCGGAGGGCCGGAACAAAAGCATGGATGGAGTGTTTGTGTGAACTAATATAAATTCAAAGTAAACATCATTACATAAAAGGGTACGGTCTTTTTTTTTTTTAGTTTTACTCATTTCAAACGGGCCAGATCCCGCCTGAGGGCCGTAGTTTGCCCAGGGCTGGATTGGACTCACAAGTGGTTAAGTCGGGTCCCAATCACGCCGTGAGCCTCTCTCTAAATGAAGATTAGGTGATCGAAATGGGGAAATTGGGCAAAAAGTACTCGGAGGGGATGATTTTCCCTCTTTGTAAAGGAAAGGAATATGTTTGTTTTAATAGCTCTAAAATATATATATTTTTAATTTTGTTTAGTAAATATTCAGCAAACATTATGAAATAAATACCTAGTTTCCTCCAAGCACTATGCAAGTTGCTGGGCATGTGAAGATAAAAATGGGTCCTGCAGGAGTTCAAGTCAGTGGCAGGGACCAACTGCAAATGTTACAGGCCGTGCAACATGTATGTGGGGCCATGATTGAAGCCAGTGGGGGTGGGGAAGGCGCAAAGGAGACCACCGCCCAGCCTGCAGCCAGTGAAGGTGACCTTGAAAGACAGGCATTAGTCAGGCTTTGAAGGTAGGGGACTGTTAGGCTTTTAACAAGCGTGTTTTCATTTTCGAAATAATTGCTTTTTACTCTGAAACTACGTTTCCCAGTAAAGTTACAATGCGTAGGCAAGTAGTCCAAAGTTTTCCAAGAATTTAAACTGGAGTTAATCTTGACTCCCAGATCTCGGGTGCTAATATTTAATAAGTTTTATATTGCGGTAGAGTCCAGACATTGTTGTTGTTTTTGTTTTCATTTTTTATTTATTGTTAACACTGTTACAGATGTCCCCCATTTTCCCCTCTTTTGCTCCCTTCCATCCAGCCCCCACCCCCGCCTTCACCACATCATTGTCTGTGTCCATGGGTTATGCATATAAGAATATATGTTTTTTAATTAATCGCTGCCAGTCCCCCCCCCCCCCCCCAAAGTCAATTGGACATAAACATTTTTGTGCGTGATAGTAGGAGGAGAGGAGGTGGGAATTGACTCTAATAGTAGGAGTTGAAAAGATCTCAGAGCGACGGTCTTTCGATGTGTATTGAGGGCCACAGGGAAGCGTAAAGTTTAGGAGGATATAAATTTTTCATGAGAGTAGAGATATGATAACTGAAGA